AAACTGGTGCGACAACTGGTGGACCTATTCCTGGACATGGAGAAGAAGACGGGACATGAGGTGCAGTTGTGCGAGGAGTGCATCGATTGGGCCAAACAGGAGAAGCGCACGTTTCTGAGGCAATCACTGGAGGCCCGACTCATAGCCCTCTTCTACGACACCCAACAGTACGACAGAGCACTCCATTTGGGCGCTGAACTGCTCCGCGAACTCAAGAAGATGGACGACAAGAACCTGTTGGTTGAGGTGCAGCTCTTGGAGTCGAAGACATACCACGCCCTCTCGAACCTCCCGCGCGCCAGGGCTGCCCTCACCAGCGCCCGCACCACTGCCAATGCCATCTACTGTCCGCCCAAAATGCAGGCGGCGCTCGACCTCCAGTCAGGCATTCTTCACGCGGCCGACGAACGAGACTTCAAGACTGCCTTCTCTTACTATTACGAGGCCTTCGAGGGATACGATTCCGTCGACTCCCCAAAGGCCGTCATTGCTCTCAAATATATGTTACTCTCGAAGATTATGCTTAACATGTATGACACCATTCACTACCATTGACACCATTCCTATCATTCAGATAACACTTTCCTCCTGTTGTTCAGTAGTCTCTTATTTCACTCGCAATACACTCTCAAGAATATCTATCCTTTGTTTATGTCATTTGAGTCATGAATCTGTTATTTAATTTGTTTTTAACTCTTTTTTACTTTATTTTTTGGTCACATTTTCAGTGAATTACGAAATCTTTTTAACACTTATTGCATGACTTTTTGGCTCAACTGACAAATATTTTCTATTTATAGTCTAAGAAACTATTGCTTTGAAAACTTGAAAATAAGTTTATTTTTAAGAATATTTGACCAAATTTTTTATAAATAGATTTTTTATTTTTAATACCAATTTATGAATTGAAAGCAAATTGTATTAACGATTGTATGGTTTGTTGTGTGATTAGGGCTGAAGACGTACAGTCCATAACGATGGGTAAGCTAGCGCTCAAACACGCCGGTAAAGACATCGATGCTCTCAAAGCGATAGCCAACGCCAGCCACAAGAGGTCTTTGGCTGACTTCCAGGAGGCGCTCAAGACTTACGAGAAGGAGTTAGTCGACGACCCCATCATTAACGCCCACTTAAAGTCATTGTATGACAATATGTTGGAGCAGAACCTGTGCCGCATTATTGAGCCCTACTCTCGAGTACAGGTATGTCGGGCGTACGTCTGTCACGTGATTGTGTGCTAACCGTTGGTTGTTTGTCGGACAGGTGTCCCACATCTCAGGTCTAATCAAATTGTCGGTCGATATGGTGGAGAAGAAGTTATCGCAAATGATTTTGGACAAGAAGTTCAGCGGAATCCTAGACCAGGGCGAGGGCGTACTCATCATCTTCGAGGACACCCCTCACGACAAGACCTACGAGTCAGCCTTAGAGACGCTGCAAAACATGGGAAAAGTAGTCGACTCTCTCTATCAAAAGGCCAAAAAGCTGTCCTAATGTCTCGGACCAGCATTTTAAGAGTTTTTTTTGTTTATATTTCATTCGAGCGATTGTTTTATTAAATTAACATCTTTTGAAAGCTGATTAAAATTTTCTATCGAAATATGAGAATAAAATTAACATTTATTTAGTATTAATATTTATTTGTACAAGAATTTCCGAGTATTTTCATTGTGATATAAACAGTTTTAAAATCTTGTATTTTTTGGATCAGAGCTTATGTTTTCCACTCTATTCCCAAAAGCAATCGTTAATTGATTTAATTTGTTTGTGAATTAACTTACTTTCTCTTTAAGTGTGTTTTGATAACTACAGTAAATGGTTGAAAGCATTTTGGATCAGAGCTTATGTTTTCCACTCTATTCCCAAAAGCAATCGTTAATTGATTTAATTTGTTTGTGAATTAACTTACTTTCTCTTTAAGTGTGTTTTGATAACTACAGTAAATGGTTGAAAGCCTTTGCTGTTGTTTTGGGATATGGAAAATGAGTTCATAAAACGTTTTTTAATAAAAACTATTTTTATTAATCACTCGATTGGAAACAAACTTACAATTTATAGTATTTCGCATCGAATTTGTATTTTTACAAATAATTTCTATGATTTTTTTCGAAAGCCTTGATAATGTAGTTATTATTTTATATTATAATGATATAGAAATGAATTTGTTTTCAATAAGTTTTTTGACATATAATTTTCTAATATTTTTAAAATTTTATTGTATTTATATACAAATATTGCACTAAAGCCCGGCGCATTTAGTTTATTACATGATTTTTTGAATACTGTTGTGGTATTTGATGTACAGTTTTGTCAGGTTTTCAAAATTAACTCTAAAAACCTATCAAATTATAGACATTTATATAATATATTACATAATCTAAATGATAAATAAAAAGCGATTACATTTTTGAAAAACAATTTTACATAAGTTTTAGGAATTTAAACATGAATTTTTATAAATACATTAAAAATATTAGTTTTGGGAATTGTGTTCACAAAGTATTTTGTGAATTATTTACTCAAAAGCTTTTGAAGTGAAAGACCAAATGAGAGAAAGTTTTTAAAACTTTTTTGTTATATAAAGAGTTTAATTATATTTATAATTAATAATTGATTTGCAGTCATATTGTATTCACTTTAACTGTTTTGTTCGTTTGAATGTCTTTTCATATACATTATATACATGTATATTAAAAAATGATTTCATTAATTATTCAATTACCGGAGAAATGAATTATCATTTAAAATCTTATAACAACTAATCAGATATTCAATTATGTCTTTCCATTTCAGTTAAAGTTTAATATTCAGAATATTCTCTAAAATCCAGAATCTTGTTTCAAATCATAAAAATAGCGTGAAATTAATTCAAAACACTTTGATATTTGAAGTAAAATACATATAAACATAATTTAATTAATAAAACCATATATGGTAATACCATAATAAAATTCAAAATCATTAGCTCTGAGATAAATACCATATTTTGCTCATTTGAATACTAAGAGTTAATATATATTATAAATACATAATATTTTGATGTAAATATTGTGATGAAAAAATAAATTTTCAATCATTTCCTAAAGCACTAAATGTTAAACAAAAATATAATCATTTGCGTAATTCCTGTGCTTTTAATGATGTTTAATATAACTGTAATATAAATTCAGTGATAAAAATAAATCCATTTGAGAGATATATTGAGGAATAGGATCCGAATTATAGGGGCAGTGGATAGAGAACCGCATAATTGTATTCTCTTGAGAATATCCATTACATTACAACTCCTGTTAATTATATTGTATGACCCGTCCTCTAGTCCTCTACACGACTGTCCACCAAATGTATGCAATCATTCATTTTATTAGTACTCGACTCTCACTATATTCAGTCATTCAGTCATCGTTTTATTGATTTTTAATGTATTCTAACCGTTCATTCAGACTATCATTAATAGCAGGACTAGTATTATATGAGAAATGCATTGAAAACAACTGAAACACCGAATCAATGATTCAGTGAAGCGGACGTTTAGAGCCTATCATTCGCTGCCATTTCTATTCATATTTCTCTACAATTTTTGTCCAATTTTTTCAATTATTTATTTCTGATTTCTCTTCACATGTTGTCGACTCTCAATAGAGACCAAAGAGTCGTAAGAGTGAAGGAGTATAGGAATGGGAGGAAAGGGAGAGAGAAATAGAGTACTATAGGGATGAGAGAGAGGCCTGTGATTCGTTGCCAGACCTGAGCTATGGTTTAGTTCTCCGCGGATTACAACACAGAATAAATCGATAAAAGCATTCAATTATTACTTATTTTTCAGAAACTTATTTTAAATTTTATGTTATTTCGTAAAACTGTCAAAATATATGTCTAATCGGATCTGTGGTCAATACATTTATACTCAATAAAACTATAAAATTATTATAATCCTTAAAAATGATGTCTCGAATGGCATTCAAACTGCAATTGTTAGCATAAAATGTATTGATATTTTGGATACAATTTATGGTATATTTTCATTAATTCAAAATATAATTTATGAAAATGTATGGCAAGAATTTCAATGAATGCAAAAAATAACAGAATTTGTAATTCTTATCAAATAATTTGGTCCAAAATTAAATAAAAAATAATTAATTAAATTATTACAGTATATATTAAGTAAATACAAAATGAAAATCAATTTAGATTTAATTTCCAAAAAGTAAGTTTAAAAGCTCCGTAATAAGTGGTAATAAAACAAAACAAACACAACTAAATCTAATAATCATTTCTATATTTGTTTGGTAATCATTAAATAAAAAAGCACTATCTATTATAATCACTATTTAATGGCCAGTTTTGAGGATTTTGTGAAAAGCCTAATAAAATTCAATCAAATAAATTCATAAAAGCGTTGAAAAGTTTGCATTTTAAGATTCATGAGAATATTCTGTTGACTAATTTATGTAAAATATGAGCGATTGTCTGAATAAACAAAATTATAGTTATATGTTGAATGCATTAGTGGATTAAATATTCAAAGTAATTCAAAATAGCACATTACAGTACATAAGTATGTTGACTAAATGTGCAAAACATGCTTAATATCCTGAATATAAGTGAAAACAATTTGATGAACCTTTTCTTAGAAAGATAAATGTGTTTTCAAAAAACATATTTTAATCCAGACAAATTAGATTTGGGTTCACTTTTCAGAGAATCAATTGTTTGTTGTAATAAATTATAGACTATTTTGTTATATAACGTTATATGAAAGTGTAGATACAATATGACTGCAAATACCTTATATTATAGTGGCTATTGTTCAACATTTTTGTCTACAAACTCGCAAATAAAAAACATATAATACATTAAATATAATAATAATAACAAGTTTTTCGGCGAAACAAAAAATGACTGAAATAATAGACTAAAAACAAAAATCGATACAAATTTTCCGCACAAATTCTTATAGACAAAAATGTTTGGACTTTTATATACCGTACTGTATAACAGTGTGTTGTTTAGTGTGTCTTTGAAATGAAAAAGTGAAATTGAATTTCATAATACGTTTTGTACAATAATTTGTAGTCAGTTTTAGTCTATAATACAATTTTTAAGTATTTATTGGCCGCAAAAGAATTGTAATATATTTTTATAGTTTTAATTTTCAAAGAATAATAATTTGTTGAACAAAATAATGTTTTTCACACGAAATATAGTTTTTCAATAAAATACTAATTACTAAAACAGATATCTATACAAATACATCACAACTTATATCTAAACACAAATTAATTTTTGTTTGCTTTTTTCGTTTCATATATTATGAACAATACGTTTGCTATAAAAACATATTATTTGAATCTTTTTTGGTTTATCAGTAATAATAGTAATAAAGAATTTTAAAAACTAATTGTCATTTTGTTAGCAAAATTCTAGTGAATAAATAAATACAAAATAAGAGACAATTAATAGCCTTAATAGCTTAATGTATTAAAAAGGAGTTTTCAAAAACACAAACAGCAAAAAACAATTGGTTTTTAAAATTACTTAGTATTGCATTTGATGTAAGAATTGAGTGTTAATATGAATGATATAATAATCAAATGTTTGTCATAAAGGGTGCGAATAAAGAGTTGAAGAATTGCTGCTCAGACCTAAAAACCTATCACTGGTTCTGTTGTGTAGTAATAGCTATGAGAGTATCGATCGGTCCTTGAATTCAAATGAGATGAATGTCTTTGGTATGGAAACAATGCTTTCGAGATAAACGAGTGGATTATAATCAGTGATTAATCACAATTGCATTGAAATATTATTATAATGAAATGCTGCACATGTTGTCCCGGATTACCATTACTAACGGAATCCATAATTAATAATAAATTCCATAAAATTCCATAAATTTGTGTAAATTTATCGGAATCTCTAAACCAATCGATGTTTTTGAATCCCAATTCATTATTATTCAGTTTTTGATTACTTTTTTAGGGTTGACTTCAAAGTTAATGAAATGAATGGTTAGACCAACTGATCAACTAATCCTTATCTAACGAGTATTGTCTTTGGCTCTAAGCTCTTGGTCTCTGTTCTCCTCATAAGTGGTTCACTATATATATAGGCATCCAATCATCCATTGCTGTGACGGATGAACCATAAAACTGAATGTAATTGAAAACAGTGGCCACATATCTCTCTGTGTATCTGTTTGTCTCAACAGTACATCCATTTGATTCCTCTGCCTTCTCAGACAACAAAATCTGTTTGATTTGTATGGTATGACTCACTACTCAATGGTATGGTATTTATTATTAGTACAGTAGTAGTGGTCAAGAGATATATCCAATTGTCTTTTCTATATATACATTACCAGTGAATCAAAATCTTT